ATCTGTGTGTTAAAACCGCCAGTGGTCTTGACCTAAAATGGCTACCAAGTTCTGCTGCCAATATCATAACTTGAGTTTCAAGTGCAGAGAGTCCGATTCAAGATCCTGCCGTTTTCTCCGAAAGCAGCTGCTTAACTAACAGCCTTTCCTTTTTCTTGCGCTTCTCGCCTGTGCCCTGGACTTGTGTCTCAGGCAGTCTTTCATCCGCCTTGTGTCTTTCGGCAGTTCACTGGTGCTCACGGTCGCACTTCCACGGGTGCTCTCGTTCATGCGGTCTCGTGCTCTCACGTCGAGCTCAAGCGGGCTGAAACCAACCCTGGACAGGTGACGTCTCACGCGGACGCGGACGGAGGACAGAGGAAGAAAGGAAAGGGAGGTGTCGACACCTGCTGACACCTGCTGACAGGGAAGTGCAGCAGCGGGAAGCACTGCCAAAATTGTAATGATGTACGTTTGATATATCTAAATACGATGCTATGCGCATCGTGCCACGTGATACTGCTTACAGTAGATCAGAAGTGCCTCCTTGATGTTGCAGATATTCTCGCATTTGGTCGATTGTGATGGAGCATCATTTCGAGGGACGCTCTCCGAAATCGAAATCTTCAAGCCTTGGCCATGTCCAGCGGCTTGTTCAAGAAGGGAGCAGCCTCTCTCACCGTCCCGCCGTCCCGCACTCGCACATGAGCGAATCCCCGGACGGAGAGGGAGCAGGCCGTGTCCGTTGCAGGTCCCCGTGTCCGTTTGCAGGCCGTATGATCATAATCATAAGTGCAAATGCTGTGGTAGCACGAGGTACGGACGCACGAGGTTCCGGACCGTGGTGGTGGTAGACCGCTCGCGAGGTCGGTCTTTTCTCGCAACCAGTCGGCTGTAAAGTCGCGGCCCTCCCTGGTTTGAGACGGCGGTCGATTCAAACATGAACGGCCTGAACGATTGCATGGCATGCAAATCACACAGGCGGAGAAGGGAAAAGAAAACACACGGCCGTTCAGCCTATCCTTGTCCTTCAGGGACAAGTCCAGCAGCCCGCATTGTCGCAGGCCAAGGGCCAAACCAACCCTGCATCCAAGGCAGGAGAAAAAGCTCGTTTCTGGTCCGAGCTTCATACAAAACGGTTCCGTGGTGGGCCAGGAACATGCCGATGTCATCAGCCAAAGTCCTCTGTGTGTTCGGGTGCAATCGATTTGGCGTGATGTCCATCGATGCACATGCAGTGCACCATTCATAGGATCGCTCTCCATGGGCCTGATTGACCAGAACGCGGCAGTCCGGTCGAAGATGCCAAACACGGCCTCGAGGAGCGATGAAGATCTCGTCCCTGATGGGACAGATCTGAGCGTGCTCGTTGAGCTCTCTCATGGCCCTGTCCAAAATGGCCTTCGCATCGGCCAGCGCAGCTCGGCTTTCCGACTCGATGGCCAGGCGGCGACCAGTGACTTCCTCCTCGGTGAGAGGAATTCCAGTGATGACGTCCCTTTCGAAGAACGCAAGTCGTTCTTCAGCAACTCTGAGACGGTCTCTGGTGAGGGCGAGTTCTTCTCCTTGTAGGTCCATCGCGCCTCTCAGCTCACGATTGGCCACTTGGCACTCATAGGTGCGTTGGTGTGACAGGTCCATGGAGGCCACAGCTTGGTCTTGAACGCTCAAGGCCTCAGCGACAGATCGCTCGAGGTTCCGTATCTTCTTGAGGTAGTAGCGGCGGGCAAACCAAGCGCCAAGCACAAAGGCGGTCAGCAGGAGGACCACCGTCTGCAGCAGCGGCCACCGCCCCTCGGCGGCATGCGTCTCATTCGAGACAGGCAGCGCGGCTGCAGGAGGTGTCCAAAGCAGCGCCATCAGCGCCAGGAAACCATAGCCATGGCCAGCGGCACGAGTTCGAGTCCTACCGGGGCTGCAACTGGTTGCTTCGATCGCTTCGCGAGCGGCAAACTGTTCAGTGCTTGTGCTCCGGCTCTCGAGTTCGGCTTGCTTGTCCATGGATGGTGTTCCATCCTTTGTTGTTTGTTGTGGACCTTGTGTGTTGGTTTGGTGCTTGTTGCGTGCGTTGTTGTGTGTTTTGGTGTTTGTGAACTCATGTTGACTGCTCCATCTGTTTTCCACCGTCTTCTTTTTGGCGGCCACGTACTCAGGGTCCCAGGTGTATTTGATCGCTCCATGTCTCAAGCGATCAGCCAGTAGCTGTCGAGCTGACAACTTGGTGAGTCCATCGCCATATTGGCGTTCTGAGGAGACCCATTTCAGCTTGCCACCGAAGCTCTCGACTTGTTGTCGAGTGACTTTCACTTCCAAGGCGGTCCGCTTGTCGTTGGACCCGTGGTTGAAGGCGTCACGGTGGTATGTGTCGTACAGCGCTTTTGCGTCTGTGATGAGCACTGGCTGCAGCGATGAGTTGTCCATGGCCAAGTTGGTCTTCAGATCAAGTCCTGGGTTCATCAACTCATTCCAGAACCTGACAATAAACTCAACACTGTCGGCTGCAGCTCCTGCGGCTTGTGCTTCTGCTGCCAGGGATGAGCGTGCAACACGTGGTAGCTTGAAGGATTTCCACTCCAGAACATGGTATGGCGTTTCAACGCCCTCGAAGGCTTGTTTGTGCGTGAGCAGGCGTAGAAATCCATCATGTCGAACTCCGTGAGCAGCATCGAACATGCAAGATAGCCTGAGGTCGTCAAGCTCTCCCAATGGAGGGTACTTCAGGACCGAGTCGCTATTTTGCTTGGCGAACTTCAGAAGACGATTAGCTTCGACCATAGGTGCAGCTAAGCCGGTGGCCATTTCTCCGCTCAGCAGCGATGTGCTTGCTAATAGATGTGGGCTGCTCTGCACGGCTGGCCACTGAAGGCTTCCGAGCAGTCCGCGAAGAAGGCTCTGCTCCTTTGGTGTCATCGGAGAGTGTGTCGGTCTCCCCTTTTCCATGGTCAGCGGCTTGATCTTCTGGAGGTACTTTTCATGGCTGACCACCCAAGTGCCATTGGTCTCACGGGACATGTTGGCACCACAGTACTCAAAGGATTCATCTTGTTGCCATGTTCTGAAGTTGAACATTGTTTTGATCTCTTTCTCCATGTGCTGGTAGGTCTCCGACAGAGAATCTCCACCTCCCAGCATGTCGTCGACGTGAAGACATAGGAGGCCGACCAGCTTCTGAGACTGGGGCTCAAACAACATCCAAAAACAAGGGTCGAGCGAGTGTTGCTTCCAGCCAAGTTTTCGAAGCCTGGAACTGGCCTCGAGGAACCATCGCCTTGGGGCGTCAAGCTGGCCATAAACTGGCTTGTGCAAAAACATGCGGGTGTCGGAGTCGGCTCCAAGGAATGCCAAGGCGTCAGCTGGCAGTTTCACCCAAAGCTTTCTTTCCTGCGGTAGTCCTTGCAAAAAGGCTGTGGAAACATCGGCGGACCAACCAGTCCATCCCAAACAACTGCTGAGGCTCAGGAACAAGGTCTTGCCAAGTCTCGTGGATGCCGGTGAAGCTGTCTCTAAGGATCCTGCAAGCGCGTCCACGTCGGCATAGCCTCGAACAACTAGTCGAGCCTTGGCTCTTGGCGAGCCGTCAGCGTTCTTGCTCCACTTGAGCAGCATACGACTGGTCAAGGTGCGCTCTGGTGATGCTTCCTTTGTAGTCTGAAAGGGCCAAACGCCATTCTGGAAAAAGGATGAAAGCTCTTTTTGTTTTGCAGCTTGAAACAAAAGGCGGTGCTCCAAAGACAGTTCTCGTTCCTTGATCTCGCTCTTGTTCTTTTGGATCTTCTTGTTGGCTGCGGCTCTTTGTTTTCGACCAAGTTGGCGGGCGTCTTGAACGTCATGTGAGGTCATGCCCATCTCTTTCCTGGTTTCACCATTCACTTGGAAGATGGTCATCCCAGTCCAGGTCTGTTGAGAAGGCTTTCCACTGCCAGTCTGGATGAAGTCGGACTCTTGGTGTAGCTGGCTTCCGACGCGTCGCACTGCGATGCGAACGTCGTCCAGGCGGTCCACCGGTAGCGGCAGATGTGCCATTTCGCGTCCAGTCATGGACTGAGGACTGAACTTTGTTCTTCTCGGTACTAGGTGGTGCCTGATCAAACAACCGGCTCTCAGCTCCCAGTAGTCCTGGTTCGGGGAGTCCATTGTGATGTAGCCGTTTTCGATGTGCCAGCCAGGCGGGAGTAGTGAGCAGTCCAGGTCATCCAGCTCGAAACAGCAACCTTCCAACGGGTCAGATCCTGTGGCTGGCTTGTCGTAGGGGCCAGCTCCATGCACTGCTTGTGAGGAAGTGCGTTCTGTATCAGGTTCTGTGGGTGCTATGAATGCTCGTGCTCGGCGGTTGCCGAAAGAGATGGTCTCTTGTTGGTCGAACCTGTTGCGCAGCAGTTGGAACGTTTCACCTGGTTGTGGTACTTGATATAGCAGCTGTTGCTGGATCAAGTGTTGGTGCTGGAGGTCGTGCTGGGATTCGTGCAGCGCTTGTGGACGGCGGTGGACTTGGCTCCTCAGAGGGCTCATTCTGAGAGGGTGTTGGAGGTGCTGAAGGTGGTACTGCCGGCAGCTCAGCACCTGGGATATCTGCCAGTGGCTCGGGTGTTGAGCGTTCTGGAGGTAATGCCAATGGCTCTGATGCTTGTGGCTCTTCGGCCTGTTGTTGATGCTGGCTGTGTGCTGGTGAGGTCGGTGAGTACTCGGCAGTATCATCAACTTCGATCATGTCTGTGTCGCCCGTTGGTCGTGGCGGTGTAGCGACCTGTGGCGCACCAGCTGGTGCATTGAGTCGGCGACGCTGTAATGGTGGTTGTGTGTGCTCCTCCTCTTCTTGTTCCAAGTCTTCGCCTTCCTCCTCCGACTCCACATGTTCAAGTCGCTGGCGGTTGACCACATTCAAGTCCAACATACGTGTCACTCCACGACTTCGAAGTGCGGCCATATCTCGCTTAGCGAGCTGGAGTCCGTCGATGAGGGTGCTGGTGTCTTGATCAATGGCCGGTCGTAGATGGTGGGGTGCACATCGAAGGAGTTGTGACTTGTGGCTGATCCAGTACAGCTGTGGTCGGCCTTCGCTATCATCTTCTCTCATCAAAACACGAGCGGGGCCTTTCCAGCGAATCTTGACAAGGTCGGGGGCTCTGGCATCTCTCCAGTAGAAACATAGTTGACCTGGTTGAAACTGAGCACTGTTGCCAAAGTAGCGACGAAGGAGTCCACGTCTGAGCTTGCGATCAACATCTGTCTGGATGATGGCCATTCGGGCAATTGCTCGCTTTTGCAGTTCTTCTTCAAAACCCTTGGAGCCTTCGAGATGTAGTGGTGAAAGTGCAGTATTCAGAAGATCTCCAGGGAATTGTGGCTGTTGTCCAAGAAGCCATTGCGAAGGACTGTAACCGCTGGCATTGGGCTGTGCGTTCAACTGAGGCACAACATAGATGAGGCTTTCACGGACAGCGCTACCTCCTTCTTGGCCAGTTTCCTTGAGATACAGCTCACAGCTTTTGCGAAGGACTGCATGGCGTCGTTCAACAAGGCTCAGGCGTTCGTGAGCTTCGCCTGGTGCAACAGTGTGCTGGATGGAGTGCTCGTCGGTGAAGTTGGTGAAGTCGTCGGACAACCATCCTCTGCCTTCATCTGTCAACAGTTCAGCAGGAGGTCCGAAGTGAGCAATCCAGCAACGCTTCAAAGCTTCAACCAAACAATCTGTGCGCTCTGCCTGGAGTAGTGAAGCGGCCTGGTACTTGGTGGCTGAGTCCAAGATAGACAGAATTGGAAACTTGTTCTGTCCAGATTTCAACCACATCACGTCGCACTGTACCTGTTCGTTGAAAGTGGAGATGACTTTGGCCGATGATGGTGCAGCATGAGCAGGCTTCCGCATATGTTCGCAGCTGGCACACTTGTAGGTCTTCGCGACTTCAAGGACGGTGTCAGCAGCGCCTCGAGCCTGAAGCAAGTCGCAAGCTTCTCGGGTGTTGGGTGTCCAAGATTGCGATGCAGCTTTTGCACAACACGGACTGCTTCTTGTTGATTGTTTGTCAACAGCTGTACCAAACGACCTTGGTGCGATCGTGACGCTTCATCACCAGCAAAGCCGTGATCCCACGTTTGTGGAGTCTCTTCAGCGGCCAGGTTGACTGCAATGATGGAGGCCATTGCAGGTTGATAGTCCTCCAAATACTTCGTGCGAAGTCGTCCACCAGGCATGTGTCCTTCAAGTCGACAGTGGTCGTGGGACTTGTCGCAAGTACGGCTCATAGCCTGTGCCATGGCTTTCTTTGTGGTCCTCAAGGCTGTAGGTTTCAGCACGGGGCGCCATTGATGGTCAACATCCTTGCAGAAAGCTCCATAGGCACATTGGTGGAAGTGGACATGAAAACCTGGCAAACTGGAGAGTGCACGTGTCTGCCACGAAAGAGCTTCTTTTGGTTGCTCAAGGTGTGCGTGTCGGGCTCCAAGAACTTGTCTTCTGTAGATCTGTCTCACGAATCGAAGGTGGACATCATGGTGATATTGTCGTTCTTCACGAAGGCGCTCTTGTCGCTCGGTTGTGTTGGCTGAAGGGCTCTGCATCTTGCTCCATAGGCCACAACGTGGTGCAAGAAACACTTCATCAGGAAGTTCTTCGGCTTGTTTGTCGAGCAGGGCCTTTCGGTGAGATGCAATGTCAAAATCCCAACCGGTCTCATAGCCAAACACTTCAACTTTGCAGCCAAGCGATCGAGCGATCTCGGACACTCTTGAGGCACCGGCATAGATCTCCCAAACAAGGCGAGGACGTGGGCCAGAATGCAACTCAGCTGTCACCATTGCTTGTAGCTGTCGCTCATGGTGGTTCAGGGAGTTGTCCATGCGCTTCCAGTCTTTCAGAATGACCTTTTTGCTTCCGTCAGCTCCCGACGAATGACCGCTGTCCTGAGAGACCCCCTCAACATTCATGTACGTCTTTAGGTTCACGGTGTAGGGCTCCTCAGTGTCGGTGAGGGCGGAATCTGCCAGGACTAGGTCAAACGACGGTGGCTGACTGAGCATTTCTGGCCTGAAGTCCGAGGTGAGCGGCAACAAGTATTCTCCATGGCGACCGATGGTGATCTCTTGCCAAGGAGCATTGTCCCACGTCATCAACTTCTTCTGGAAATTGATGGTCAAACCCAAGTTCTCCAAAACAGGTCTGCCCATCAGCATTGGAGTTTCGCCAGGGATCAGAAATCCGGTGATGTACCCGTAGGCGTGATTGAAGAACACGGGGACTCGTGCTTGCCAGCGACATGTTACACTGTGATCTCCTCCAAAATGGAAAACTCGCTGGATTCGGGTGAGCTGGACGCTGTCGGTGTCGTACTGGAGACCTTTGAGGTGTTCAACATATCGATGAAAAGGGCCTGTACCCATGAGGTATGCTGAGGCTCCGGGATCGATCATTGTTGCATCCACTCGTTGTCGTCCCTGTTGGTCTTCAAAGATCACGTGTCCGGCTTCATTCATTGGAGTCGATGAAGCTGCCATCCCTTCTGTGTGTTGTCGGTTTGAAGGAGAGGATGGCGACGAAGTACCACCTGAAGTCTTTGACTGCTTTGGACAGTTCGCAGCCATGTGACCAGATCCTCCGCAGCGAAGACACTGAATTGCTGCCGATGAACGAGCACGAGGATCGGGAGCTTTTCCACCAGTGCGTGGTGGATAGCGAACTGTGCTGGAGCTTGACTTCCCTTTCTTGCCGCCCTTGCCCTTGCGAGGTCCCTTGCCCTTTGAAGGCGAGCGAGGTGGTGATGCAGAAGGTGACGTGTTGTCGTCCTGCAAGGCAACGATGGGAAGGTAGCCACGGCTCAATTTGAGATCAGCGAAACGTCTCCGAGCATCAAGGTAGGTGGCATAGGCTGAGTCGTACTCATCGACATCCCATTCAGCTGAGGCGGCAACGAATCCTTCCTCTTCTTCGAGTTCGTCGGCCTGGAAATAGCCGGCGTCATGGTCAAAGGTTGACTCATCTTCTTGCCAGGATTCGACGGGAACTTGATCGTAGTCGAACTGGTCGTCAAGCTCTTCTTCATAGAAGACGTTCTCGTCCTCCCAACCTTCATCAACCACATAGGCACGTTGTCCCTTGCCGCGACCGAATGGTCGTTTGTCTGCAATGACGGCGGCCTTGTGATCCTGTCCCAGGATCAGGTACAACGCTTCTTGAACTTTTTGACGTTCGAGTCCAGGAGCTTGCGTGAGGATCATCTGGCGCTGCTCCTTGGTGACGTTGGCCTTTTTGAGAAGGAACCATCCGAGAACTTGTGAAGGCAGCTTGACACCGTGGGCTTGTACCTTGCGGAACTTCTCATCAAACTCGGTGCAGAAGGTCAGGATGGTGGTTCCTGGTTTCCTGACTCCATGAGTGAAGATTCTCGAAGTCCTGAGGCATTTGGACTCGGTTGTCGTAGGCGAATGCCTTATCAAGGAGCTCGAGGATGGTGTCAAAGGCTGTCTCCTTCTCAACGTTCTTGAGGTCAAAATCCTCCACCACTTTCCAAGCTGCTCCCTGAAGACTGCCAATCAGGTTGAGGCAGCATTCTCCAGTTCGTTTCTGGAGCTTCATCTTGAGGTAGTAGATGTTGATGCGCTTTCTCCATTCAACATACGATTGCGGTTGGCCATCGAACTGGGGGATGTAGTTGTCCCTCAAACTAGTCGTGTCCAGACTTGTCGAGGCCTGGGAGGTGGCCATGTTGGCCTGGGTGCCAAGGTCTGTCGACCTATTGGTGCTAGGGTCTGTCGACCCGATGGAGCAGTTTGTTGTGGCTTGTGGTGGTTTGTGGTGTAGTTGTTGTGGTGTGTGTGTTGAGAGGTTGTGGTGGAAAAGGTGTGCCTGGAGATGACCCGGTTAGGTCAGAGCTCCGCTACCATGCAAATGCTGTGGTAGCACGAGGTACGGACGCACGAGGTTCCGGACCGTGGTGGTGGTAGACCGCTCGCGAGGTCGGTCTTTTCTCGCAACCAGTCGGCTGTAAAGTCGCGGCCCTCCCTGGTTTGAGACGGCGGTCGATTCAAACATGAACGGCCTGAACGATTGCATGGCACGCAAATCACAATAAGTCTTTCGTAAATACCAACCATGTGTTACACGGGGTTGTCTCATACGGTTTTGGGAACACAACATATGGAATAAAGAGGCCACAATCTGGAATAACTGATGCTCATGGCAACCGATGGGTCAGCAAGACATCGGCATTGCAAGACATCGGCTTCAGGCGGCATCGTCGCCAGAGTCAAGACGCGCAGCGCCCAGCTCGCTCGGTCCGCGGACTCGTCCGATTCGGCCGCCTGAAGCAAGGGCGCCGCCTTATCGCCCAGTTGCCTCCAAGCCTCTGGACGAGCGATGGCGAGTGATGGCCGGATGGCGGCATGGCCACCATCCAAACTTGTACCAAAAAGGCAGACGGCGGGTGGTGGTGATTGGTGATGGTGAATCCGGGATCCTATTCTATTTCGTGCGGGGGATGGAGCGGTGTTCAGGTGCGTCCACAGGGTTACATAACCTAAGTCTCCCCTGTTTTGGAGACAAAAGATTATCTCTTCTGTTTAATGATTAAACACGCTTGGCAAACTCTGTGTTTCCCTGCTCTCCCCCTAAAACGCTTCGAAGCCGGGATTTCCGTCGAAGCCGGGACGGTGCAGGTCTCCAGCGACTTCCGTCTCGCTGTGCCCAGGCCTTGAGATGGGCTTCTCCGGAGCGTGGCCCCTGCCCATCGCATGGAGCAAATCCAGAGAAGCAAGTCATGGCAAGACTAGCGGCTAGCTGCACACGCTGAAGTGAGTGAAGAGGAACACGCCTTCGCCTACTGCCTAGCTGACTGGTTTCGCTGCGCATGGCACCGACTTGTTCGCTCTCGCAGGTCTGTCTGAAAACCAGTGGCCACCTTCTCTACAAAGGTCGCCGGTCGCTCGAGCGCTACATGAAAGGCTTCACCAATTCCAGCTGGCGTTGGTGGCACTTCTCAACCAAGTCATCTCGAGCACCCAGGATGTTCCGGGGTCTCTGAGAAGCACAATTAAAATAAAAGAACGCACCTTTCTGGCTATGTTCGGTGACATCTGGACTCACTGTACAGTACATGGTGGTTGCAGCACCTTTCGTTACAGGCTTCCGGAACATGGCCATGGTCATGCCATTGTAGAGCAAGGAGGTTAATCCTCGATTCCCACCCCCCAAGGCCGGTTCCAATGATTCCAGGATGCACAGCACAGGCAATGATGTTCTTCTCATGCTTTTGTATGTGTCTCGCGTGTAAGCAATCAACAGCTTTGGAAACTGCATACTCTGAGAACTCATTGTATTCCTCTTGCGGACACGGGATCTTGGCCGGATCAAAGTTATAGCAGGACGCACCTGCTAAGGATGACAGAATCACAACGCGAACCTCACCGGTCTTGGCTGTCTCCTTCAACTTCGGCATAAGAAGCTCCGTCAAGAGGAAATGGCTCAAATTGTTGGTGGCAAACTGAAGCTCAAAGCCTTGCTTAGACGGCAGCCACTCTGTTGGTGACATGATCCCTGCGTTGCAAATGAGGTAGTGCAGTGGCAGATTTAGAGCTAAAAAAGACTCAACGAAGGGCTTCACGCTACTCAAATCCGACAGCTCAATCTTCAGAATCGTCGCCTGCACGAAAAGGATGGATGCGAATGAGACCTAGAATGGGAGGGAACCAAGGGAATGCATGGGGCTGTGCAAGAGTTGAAAAAAGGCTGAAGATTCTGCAGAGATTTGTCCCGAAAGCCTTGCCAGTGAGCTTCTCCTTTTTCTCAAGCTGGTTCAACACTGAGGCTGCTTTGTCTGGACTGCGCACAGCCCAAATCACATGGCAGCCGTATTTCATCAGGCACCTGCACAACAAACCAGCCGGCAATCAGTTTGAGTTTATAGAGGATATAGAGCCAAGTCATCTCTGACTCTAGTCTCCCTAAATATGAAATCAAGTGAGGTTTCCACGTCTACGAACCATGTGTAGCCTGGCATTTTCCAGGCCAAGGCCATTGCTCGCCCCCGTGATCAGCGCAACTTTACCTTGCAATGCAAACAAGTCTTTGCCATAGACGTTCTCCAAGACCTCCTGGAGAGCGAAGGTGCCTGCTATCACAAATCCTGTTGCCTTTTGTTTTAAATACCCAGTATATACCGACCTTTATCCCAGAAGTCACATGTCGGGATGCCGAACTTGGAGGAAGTCGGGGTGCCCCTGTCACATCCACTCACTTGGGGACTCAAAGCCATCCCCTGTGTGACTCCTGGTCAGGAGTTCCATGTGACTTGAGACCCCTGACATGAGTCCGTTCAGACCACTCTCCGGGCGGTCCATTTGGCGCGTGGGGCGTGAACTCGACACCCTACCCCTCCATGACACTGCTGCTGTGCCGTTCTTCTGCAGCAAAAAGCATTCAAAAAGCATTCATTTGCCCAGTCGTGGGCCCTATCTGGGTGTGCATCGCCCCAAAAAGGGAGACACCCCGACACCGCCCTCGAAAACCCCGACACCGCGGATGTTCCGAACCGGTCAGCTTCCCAGCTGTGTCGGTCTCCCTATTGAAGCTACACACCCATCCAACTGGTCTGGTCCGAGTCCAGTCACCCAGTCTCGCTCGGTCGAAGGCCGCAGAACAAAGAACAACAGGTCGAGCCGGGGGTCGACACCACATCCCCGCCCCCAACTCTTAGGACCTAGTTCTTCAAGATATGAAGGGAACAGAGATTTGGAAACCAACCAACTGTTGAACAAATCCAGAAGAAGGACGCATAGCAGACCCTGTTCTCCACGGGTGTTTCGTCCTGTTCTCGGGAGTCCGGGGGGCTCTCAGGATATTTCACGGAAAAACACCGTTACACACCTAATGCCAAAACACTAATTACATGGGACGTTTTCATGTTTAGCTTCTAAAAAAGCTTACATTGCGGTGGTTGAAGAAGGATACATGTAGAAAATTGAACAAACAGACCACCCAGCCGTCCTCACACGTTCTACACTGTGACTGGTGGATCATCTCGTCCACGGCAATTGACATAAAGCCACTGAAGAAGGTCAGCAGGGTCGTTTTGGACCGAACCGTCGGGTCCAACAAGAGTTGTTTCACCAATCTCGCCAAGTAGGAATAGGCGATGACTTCTTCTTTCAATGCACTGGCCACCGCCCCCATGGCGAGTTCCGTGGGCGCGGACGCGTCAAGTTCCGTCCTTCTCCCTCCCTGTCCGGTCCGGGTCCCTCGGGCCGCACCCGGCACGGCGATCTCGGCCGAGAGACGACGGAACGTGGGGACGACGCGCCGACAGGACGGTGCGCCAAAAGCCGCCGGGCTCGGCCTGAAATCGTTGCCGCAGGAACTGCCAGTACCTCGCAGGAAGAGTCGGGGCGAAGTCAACGGAAAGGTCACTGACTTCTCCTGACTTCTAGAATTGGCCCCATCATGGTGCTTAGGAACTGCGACATGTCGAAAAGCTCCGTAGACATCAGAAAGGCTCCAGTGCTTGTGACTAACGATGAAGAATCGGCTTGTCATGTGTCTCCTTGTTTCTCTATTTTCTCCCTAATCAAAGCAATGGACGGCAGTTCAACAATGTTCAACATGCTTTTGGAAACAAAAACCTTTTTGTTTGGCTGATCAGCTGATCCTTCAACAGGATTCAGGCGCACAGGATGCAGGGGAACAGTTGCCGCCATGGCATCAGCATGCTCACCTGCGCCGAACTCACTGCGCCTCACTCCCTCCCTCCGGCTCTTCGCCTTCCACCGCCGAACAAACGAACAAGACACGAAAAAGTCCGTCGCACCGTGAGCCAAAAGCCCAGCACGATCTCCGCGAGCGTACTGTAGTGGAGAACCTGGACTCACCAAACCAGGCAGACTTCACACTTCGGTGGGAGCGAGCTGGATGACCACCGTCCGTGTCGTCCGGACACGGTTTTGGTCTCTCCCAGCTTGCGGGGGGGGGGCGGTCGTTTTTGCTGAAGAAGGGCGCTGGGTAAGTTACTGACAGGCATTTCAAGCTGGTATGTTGAAATGGAGAAGAAAGCTGGTCAACATCTGTATGGCTATCAGTCACTATCAAGACTGGAGAACGGCTATATTGAGAATTCCTGCAAAAGTCTCTTGCCTGAGCCTCCTGTGACTTCAGCTTTGCCCAAGTAGGTGCAAAAGCCTAGGGAACCGAGTAAAGTTTCAAGCGCCGAGTGGAATTGACGCCAGACGACAGATCTTGCGCAAAGACTGTTCCTGGACCCGTTGCAGACCTGCATGTTCTTTTAACGGACCATTGTCATGTACCCGTTGCACTCATGCGCTTTACCGTTGCCCATTGTCGTTTCGCTTGTTCCTACGTACGCTTTCCCTAGAAGTCTCCGCGACACGCACCTTCCAAACTCTACTTTCTCTCCAAGTGCTGCTCTCGGGCCTTAGAGATTAATCTGGTTGAGAAAGCAATGCTGAACACGAAGCATGGCTGAGAATGGTTGAGATATTCACAGATCATAGACACATAGATTGACATAGATCTCAATGCGATTGAAAAACCTTCAACAAAACCTCAGAAATTTCCTCATGAGTGCGGCTCCAGCCACAGCGAGGTTGGTCAGGAAACTTCACTTTCCTCATGAGCCCTTACAACTTCTGGAAGCTCTGCTGCTCTTGTCCACATCCAGCAGCTACATCATCCCAAACTCACAGGCTCTCCATGCTGGGCTGACTTCACGGTGACTAAGGGATGGACAGGCTTTCATTGCTGCAATAGGAGCCCACTGACCTGTCATGGACAAGAATTGGAATCACAATCAATGCAGCTTTGCTCCTTGTCTTCCTCTTCTGCCTGCAAATCCTATCACCCCACACCCAAAGGGTCTTTTGCAACTTTTGTGGCGACAGTGCCATTCGACACTGGCACAGCCGTCTGAATCCATGTGCGAAGAGTTGGATCTCTACTACGGTCCTCCCATGAATTTTTCATAGGCGACCCTCAAAAGAATTCCCTGGAAGCACTTCCAAGGTCATTTCTTCGGCAATCCATTGTCTCGCTTCCACTTGTGGAAAACTCCATAAAGGTCCCACTTGCGGTAGAGTTGCCTCAGCAAGCGAGACACCGCCCACGGCCATCAACCTTCGATTTCGTGTCCAAAAACCAACGAATAAATTCACCTGAAACACTCAATCCAAGGGGCAAGGCCTCTTTGAACTGAGTGGTGTGCGCTCGTGTCTGGAAGCGATCCAGAAGCCTGTGCTTGTCTGGCCCGGAGAGAAACTCTCAAAGAATGCCTATTTGGATCAATCAATTGAAAGCTGAAGGATTGATCTCTTATTTAAGAACGCTTTCGAATTTATCAGAACACCTAACTTGCAAAGTGATGTTCATTCCAAAAAAACACCAAGTCCTGTCAGTCATGGTCTGCATGATGTCCACATCTTCTGACCGTGCCAAATTCGTGCTCGACCCGCAAATCCACCTGGGGTCCATCCAATCCTTGATCTCCTGCCACTCGGCCGCTTTGGTGAACTTCAGCACTTGCGTGACATTGCCTCGGCCGGAAACGACCGACAAAGAAAAAAACAACGAACCGGTGGAAGTGAACGCGCATTTGGATGGCCTCCACCCTAATAGCGATGGCCTCCAACCTAATAGCGATGGCCTCCAACCTAATAGCGATTGCCTCCAACCCACTAGCGATGGCCTCCAACCAAATAGCGATGGCCTCCAACCTAGTAGCAATGGCCTCCAACCTTTCAATTGCAATGGCCTCCAACCTTTTAATAGCAATGGCCTCCAACCTTTTAATAGCAATGGCCTCCAACCTACTAGCGATGGCCTCCAACCAAATAGCGATGGCCTCCAACCTAATAGCAATGGCTTCCAACCCCTCCAACCTAATACCTCCAACCTACTAGCGATGGCCCCCACCCAAATAGCGATGGCCTCCAACCTAATAGCAATGGCCTCCAACCCTCCAACCCAATACCTCCAACCTACTAGCGATGGCCTCCAACCAAATAGCGATGGCCTTCAACCTAATAGCAATGGTCTCCAACCTTTTAATTGCAATGGCCTCCAACCTAATAGCAATGGCCTCCAACCTAAAAGAAACATGAAGGCAGGCTCATACGAAAGCAGCATCTCTTTTCTCA